CATATCCTTAACCTCGAACTAACCCTAACCTTAATTTTAATTGCTGCGTTTTAGACACTTTCCAAAAAAAAGGGGGATGGCTAAAGTCGTGTACCCACGTGATTTTGACGTTTAGTTAAAATTAAGGTTAGGATTAGGGTTAGTTTGGTGTTGATATAAGAAGAGGGGTATAGGTAAAATTGCCTTCTCGAAATTTTTAATTAGTGCCCCAAGACAAGTTTGGACTGCCGTTTTTCGTTTTTTTTTTTGCGTTTTCTTTATTTTTTGACTTCTTCGGGCTGATCCATGTAAACAAAATTTCGCAATTCCGGTTGGTCGATTTACACAAAAAAGTCACGTGGGTACACTGCTTTAGACGACCCCCAAAAAAGGAAATCGAAAAATGGGTTGGTAATATTGGTCAATTCTGTCTTAGTCGGGATCTTGACTTGTCGAGATTCTGTCTTAGTCGGGATCTTGACTTGTCGGGATTCTGTCTTAGTCGGGATTTTGGGCGTCGGGATTATGTAGTCCCGGGTTTTGGATTTTGGGATTTTGTGGTAAATCCCAATTTATAACCCATTCAAAATTGGCATAAATTTATCTAAATCTACTTTAGACATTATATGGGAACCACCACAGCAAAAAGAGGCAGTGGGCAAAAAAAATTTTTTTAAAAAAAATGCAATTTCTCGAAGAATTAGAATAATTGGCACATGATTTTTATAAAATTACAAAATCAAAATTTTTGGCCTACTGCCTCCTTTTGCTGTGGGGGTCCCCATATATTACCAAACTTCCAATAAATCATGGAATCTTTTAATAAAAATGTATAAGTTTTAAATTTTGATACAGTGACCATTGTTCTTTGTAAACTATCTGCTACTTCTATCGTACAAGTATTCTTTCAAAATCATCAATAATTTATTAAAAATGACCCGTAAATATCGATTATTAAATTTCATGACGTTATTTATGCAAATTTAATATAATTATCATGATCTGTTCAATATTAAACATCACATTGCGCAGCTTTCGTCAGGCTCACCAGACTTTATAGTATTGTTTTTAGACAAGTTAAATTATAGGGGAATTTACAAATAAGGGTCCAGAAAGTGAAAATAATTACAAATACGGGTCCAAATTAAAAATAATTACATATAAGGGCCTAATTTTTAAAAAATATTACATATAGGGGCCCAAAATAACTGCGATGTTATTCAAGCCTGTGGCATGATCGTTATTAGCATAAGAAATGTAAGCATCGATAAATGTAGTTATTAAGAGGTAGGTTAGTCATGTCAAAAAAAATTGTCGGTGACGTAATATACAAGCCACTCAGACTATGTTTACTGTATTCGGGCTATTAATTTTATACTTATAATTCGGTTTCCAAAAAATTTTTATAAAGATTTCTTAAGAATTTTTTTAGACACTGAATACAAAAATATAGCCCGAGTGGCTTGTATATACGTCACCGACAATTTTTTTTGATATGACTAATCTACCTGTTATTAAGCGCATAAAAAATGTAACTATCGATTGTAAATTAGTAAGAAAAGAATTTTTTTTTTTAAATTTAATGAATTTAATTTTCTTTGTATAAAATTACTTATTGTTATAACAAACCACCATGACGTCAAGTAAAGCACTGCGAATTGGCATGACATTTACTAATATGGAAGATGTTACATCGCCTTATAAATAATTGTGCTTTAACGCTATTTTTTATACAGTATTTAAGCGAAAATGATTATAACCCGCGCTTCATTTATCCTTAAATCTAATAATCGGTGTATAGATAACTCTAAATGCCTATAATACAACAATCGATAATCTTATAATCGCTCGTTATAATTCAAATGGTCATAGTACTTTGTGACGCAGTAATCTCGAGATCACATTTTTTTAGCCATCAATAGATTTGGGCCCTTATATGTAATATTTTTTAAAAATTAGGCCCTTATATGAATTATTTTTAATTTGGGCCCGTATTTGTAATTATTTTCACTTTCCGGGCCCTTATATGTAAATTCCCCTAAATTATACGTTCAAATCTCGTACGTAAACATGGTATTTATAGAACAATCCATATATTATGCCGTAAAATTGGAATCTTCATATGTTAAAGAATATTAAAATTCGTATTTTAGCATATTATATATTTGTTACTAACATGCTGTATTTGTGAGGACTACACGTAAGCGTAATAAATCCCACTAAAAAAAAAAATCTGAAGTTAGATCAGAAGAAGAAACAGCAAAAATAAGTTCAATAAAGTATTAAATAAATTATGCAGTTATCTGGAATATATTTATTTTTCTCTCTAAATTATTGACTTCAACCTAATTTGATCTCAAACATAAAATTGTACATAACAGAGTTTTAAGCTTATGCTTATTACAATTGAAGTATAAAAATATATAGACGGCACTTATAAACATAATCGATATACTTCATATTATATTGCAAAAAAGCAATTTTTTCTGCCATCTCTTCACCATGAGTTTTTATAAGTTTACCTAGATTTTTTTTTAGATTGTTTACTCGATTGTTATCATCCGCCGCTAATATAGGCAAATATCTCTCGCAAGAGTAGCTAATCCGGGAAGCATTTGTTTTGAACCTTGCCACCACTCATATGGATTAACATCACTATCTAATAACAATTATGGGCGCTTACTATAACATTTTAACTCTTCATTTGCTGCTTGCATTGATTTATCCAAATTGTCTGAAAAAATATTGTTTAAATAATATGCTTGGCATTTTTTTAGTGCATCTTTTAAAATCACCTAATATGTTGTGTAAATTATATTAATATTAATATTAATTATTATTTTATAAATATTAATGTACGTATGAATAAACTTACAGGTGAAACTTCATCCGGTTTAGAACGTGGATCTAAGAATGAAGCTAGGCATTTATCAAATAAAAAACGGTCCTCAAAACATAAAGGAATCGATGTTAGAAATGATTTAAGGACTTTGTGCTCTAAATCATCATTAAACTGAATTTCTCTTAATATATTATCTGCATTAATAGCAATTCTATCTAATAAATTTATATACTCTTTCGTAGGTATTTCACGATAACTACATGTTATATGCTCTAAAGGTTGAATGAAATAGTTGCAGTAATTTAGAAAATATGCCAAATGGCAAAGAATCCAGCATATATTTTTTAAAGTGTTCTCCCTTTTTCCTAATAAGATCATTTTTATAACTATTATAATTGTTAACTAAATGTATAAAAGGGTCCTCTACCAATTTAAGAAATGCTATTTTATGATAAATACAATCACAATTAATTTTCTTTGCATTTTGAATGTTACTAATTGCCGAATAGCTTAATATCATTTGCATATTTTGTATTTCTATTTGTATTAAATCTATGTTACCTTTTAAAAACTTTACTACTCCACAAAGATTTCCGGTAGCAATTATGATAACTTTGATAATTTCAGATATTTCTTGGATATTAACGTTTTCTCTAGCCCATTTATTTAAACTGTATTCTATTAAATTTTCTAAATTGCTAAAATAATTATTTTTAATATCATGCATTTGTATAAGATTTTGCGTAAGATGCTGATATTCTTCCTCCCAAAGATTTGAATCGAAAAACTCGACATTATCATCGTTATAATCATCGCTATAATCACCGCTATAATCATCGCTATAAAATTTTAAATTAGACAACTCCCATTTTACAAAAGCATTAATAATATCGCCAATATACAAGTCATTGTCTATTTAAGAGTAATGTTTTTTTGCAAGCAACAAGATTTTATAAAGTTCTAAATCTTTAGTTAGCCAATTATAAGTGATTACTGTATACCATTCATTAACCCTAGTATCTGGTTTAATTTCACAAATCGAGAGCATAGTGTATTTTTCTTGCTGAGCTTTTAGCTTTAGTTGAAGAAATAAGCGATTATATGCTTTATTTATTTGCTCTTCTATAATATCAGAAGTAGATAGTTCAATATTTGGATTAACAAATCCAGCAGATTTTAAAGTATCGACAACTCTCAATGGTGCACCAGAAGAAACAATAAATTTAATTAATGGTAGATTAATTTCTAATTCGGTATTATTAAAGTTAATAGTTGATGTTGTAGGTGTTAGAGGTGTCGAGAATTTCATTATACCATGCTTATTCTTAAGGTGACGAACATGATTAGAAGTAGATCCGCACCATATGTAACTTGTCGTACATCCAGGAATTTTACATTTTGTTACTGTTCCATTCTCCTTTGGGACCTTGAATGGTTCAAAATATTTCCAACAAATGCTATCCTTATCATTATTTTCTGTGCGTTGACGTTTTGTTTGTTGAGCTCCGCTACTGATAGTAGCAATTAAGTTATTCACATTGTCATTAGAGTTGGATGTTTGAAATATTTCTTGATTTCTTTTATATCCGGACATCATAAAAAGACTTTAAGTCTATTTGTAGTACGAATACCTAGGTTCGAATAGAGTTAAAAAGTGATGTAATGGTACTGCACATTTTATTACGCCGTTTTATAGCTGTGTTACGAACAATGTAGCACAAACACAAATTACATCGACCACTTGGGAATGGACAAAGAAACCCTTATTTATATGAAATACAATTTTTATTATATATTAGCTTAATAAAATATGATTTGAAAAAATTAATTCTTCGAAGACATAACGCTTTAAAATAGAATAACAGCAATCAAAGATTGTTAATTTAACTTTGTGAACTGAATTTAAGCATGCAAACTTAAGCATGCAAACTTGTTCGTGCAAAAAATTTATAATACTTATAAATCTTTTTTCAAATTTCTTCCAAATATTTTAGCGTACGCTAAGCCGAACAATTTAAGGATATATTGCGATATAAATGAATCTAAATCTTATCAACCCGTTTATCGTACCGTTAACAAATTACAACATCATTCAAGATTGGTTATTAATTTATATGAATATGCCTTAGGTGTTATAGATTACCAAATTTCCATGATTAATAAAATAACAACACATGTATAAAATTTATGGCGCAGTGAATATTTGCCACCTCTGCTGAATGACATACTTTTAAAATCATCAATTGAAGTTAAATTTGCAGCTTTCATTGCGCAGCTTTTTATTGCGCTCTCCAGAATTAATAGTAGTAATGGGAATTCAAAATTAATGATAGGGTTTTTTGATTTTGTTTAAACTAGATGCTCTATTTGCTCCGAAATAAGCGATGTATAAATTCTATTTTATGAGGTTTTGTAAAATAGAACTATTCCATTTTCTTATTTGAAAGTTAAAAACACAAATAAACCTTTTAAGCTACCACTTATTTTCTAAATAAATTAATTCTGAAATCCCAATGTAGTTTTTTTTAGGCAAGTTAAATTATATATTCGGTTTTATCTTGGATGTAAATATGGCATTTTACAACAGGAGGAAACGTCCAAATATAGATATGATTTTCATTCTCCGTTACACAGATCACTCATTGTATTGACCAGTCA